TGCTTATTAGTATGGTTGAACTGGATCCTCGAAGGTCAGAAGCAAAGTTAATAGAGTATTGGTTAATAGAATGGGATTAAATACATAAAGGATATTTGTGTTGTTTAACATTTAAAAAAGTAATCTGATTACGTAACTCGCGTTACTTGTAATATATTACCCCCAACACTGACAATAAATCGTATTATACTCTTTTATGCGCGGGTAAAAAAAAAATCAAGACATAACGAACGACCGAAAAATATGATTTTAACCTTATTTTGTAGGGTGGAGAGCGTTAACCGAATGTCCCAAATTTCCTCCCACTCGCAGCAGGACAGTAGGCTACAATAGCGAACAGGCAGACAGCATTTGTGCAACTCGACTCCATCTCCCTCCCTCCCTCTGTCTCGCTCCTCCTGGCCAAAACTGTCGTGCTCCTCTAGTGCGCTTCATTCAGATGGATAACTTCAGAAGCATGGCTCTGCCAAACACTTCACTTTTACTGTTTGTTCTTCATATGTGCGCTCTTGCTTGGCAAGGTAAGATAATTTCACTTCATCTTTCTATGCAGTTCTGTTTTCTGTTGTTGTGGTTTAATTTTGAGAGAAACTTTCTGGAGCGTTTCGACCGCGCGCGTTTGAATGGGATGCACGCGGATGTTTGGGAATGCTGCAGTTACAGTAGCCTGTACTGTACGATAATATTGTGTTTTAAAACTGAGGTCTTTAAACCTTTCTTTGTGTAACAGAGGGATATCGACTGTTTAAAGTTACTTAGACCCCATTTGTGAAGCGTGTTCACCTTTTGGCTGTTATTCGCTTCTGAAAATAGTGAAGTTTGTTATCAAAACACACTGCACGTGAGTCATGTTCAGCTTGTTCAAACGTAGACGCATGTACTGCAAATCCATATTTGTAAAGTAATACACTATAACTTTTAAATATGCAGAAGTCCATTTTGGAATTCTTGTTAATATCATATGTTCAATTTGTAGAAAACGGTACGTAAACTGTGTGCAAAATGTAAAAACTGTGACCCTGGACCACAAAAGCAGTCTTAAGTCGTTGGGGTGTATTTGTAGCAATAGCCAAAAATACACTGAATGGGTCAAAATTATTGATTTTTATTTTATGCCAAAAATCATTAGGATATTAAGTAAAGATCATGTTCCATGAAGATATTTTGTAAATTTCCTACTGTAAATATATTAAAACTTAATTTTTGATTAGTAATATGCATTTCAAAGAACTTCACTGGGACAACTTTGAAGGCGATTTTCTCAATATTTTGATTTTTTTGCACCCTCAGATTCCAGATATTCAAATAGTTGTATCTCGGGCCAAATATTGTCCTATCCTAACAAACCTAGCAAATACATCAATGGAAAGCTTATTTATTCAGCTTTCAGATGATGTATAAATCTCAATAAATTTCGAAAAATTGACCCTTATGACTGGTTTTGTGGTCCAGGGTCACAATATGCCTTGATAGAAAACAGCAGGTGGACTAAGTGCATTGAAACAGACATACTGTACTAGAAAATGGCTTTTATTATAACATTTAATATACCAGTTAACCTATTTGAATCTAGTGAAGTAAAGCAAATATGTTTTAACAAAGCAACTATTTAAAACGGAAAGGTTTGGTGTTCATAATTAGCCAATTTGCTGTTGCCTTTGGTTATATTTTTGATGTCTGATCATGAAACTGGTCACATATACAAGTTTTGTGTGTCTGTGTTCAGATACTACAATCTGAGGAACCCTTAAAGGGCGCTCAAAAATGTGATGAGATTTTCACAGTGATAAGAAAGCTGTTCACAATGTACAATATTCAGTTTTTTAAATCATCTTTCATTATGTTTGTAGACCTAAATGCTCAAAACCACCTTGATAATGCTTAGATCTGTGCATATTGCCCTGCAGGTCTCATTCTGTGTTGCGTTCTCTTTAGTACATGACCTAGACAGCTACTGAACTAGCCCTTCTCATCAGGGAACAGATGATGGACCCCCACTGCATAATCCTCTCCTTGTCCATCTCTATCTATCCTCTGTTGTCTACTTTTTTGTCTACCTTTCTACATTGTTTTTCCACCCTCATCCCTTTTTTTTCTTTCTCTCATAACATATTTTGCTCGGTGTGGATCAGGACTGTCCTGTAATGGTTTCTCGAAAAGGTTTTAATAAGCCCCTATACTACCTTCTGTTCACCCTTGTGTTAATAAGGTCCCTCCAGTTCCCCAGCAGATGAACCAAAGCTGTCTGTCCTGGGATTATTGACTGAACCCCGTTAGATAACAGCCCCTATGATTAAGAGGGGTCACCTTGCTCTCTCAATGTAGGGGGTGATTTTTCATCCAAGAACTTGACATTGAAAGTGTCATCCTTACAAATTATAGTGATTGATGTGGATGATGGAATATGTACTGAAAACGTTCTATCGAGATTTTATTCATTTTTATTTTCATTATACTTTTTTAAATGTTCACTTTTTTGGTAATTGTGACACTAATAACATATTTATTTTAATTAGCCATGTACGATGCAATATTAAAACAGTATCAAATCATAATAATAATGTTAATAAAAATAGACCATAGTGATATTAATATATAGTGATATTATATATATATATATATATATATATAATGTGTAATATATGCATATATAATTATTAATATTATTATTATTATTACCTTTTTGTGTACATTGTCACACCAATAACCTGTTTATTTTTATTAACAGTACAAATATTTATCCATATATATATATA